ATTTTGCACAATCAACAACTTTCTTGCATATGGTAATTTGGCTGGATATAATGTCAAAGGACATAAAACGTGTCATATTTGTGAATTTGATACATGTTATCACCAACTTGAGTTTAGAAAAAAGATTGTTTACCTATGGCATCACAAATTTCTAAATCCGATCATTCTTATCATAGATTGTAGAAGGCGTTTAATGGAGAGCAGAAGTTTGATATCGCTCCTAAACCTTTAACCGGGGATGAAGTTTATGAATGACAGAAACACATTAATGTTGTCCTTGGAAAGAGAGGAAAAGAAAAAGGGCAAGTTGTTGAGAAAAATATATGGAAAAAAAGTCTATGTTCTTTGATCTTCCATATTGGTCAAGTCTCGATGTAAGATATTGTCTTGATGTGATGAATGTGGAGAAAAATGTGTGTGATAGTTTGATTGGAATACTTCTAAACATTCTAGGAAAGACTAAAGATAGTAAGCAATCTCGTCTTGATATGGAGGCGATGGGTATATGAAAATAATTGGCTCCAATAGAAAAAGGGAAAAGAATTTATCTGCCTCCGGCTTGTTACACTCAATGTAAAAAGGAAAAAAAAGTTTTTGCGAGTGTTTGCATGGTATCAAAGTTTCCTAAGGTTACTCATCAAACATCAAGAAACTTGTATCAATGAAAGATCTCAAGTTAATTGATTTGAAATCTTATGATTGTCATGTCTTGATGCAACAACTTCTAACAGAGGCTATCTGTGGTATCCTACCAAAAAATGTGAGAGTAACTATCACCAGATTGTGTTTCTTCTTCAATGCCATATGTAATAAACTTCTTGATTTCAAAAAAACTAGATGAATTAGAATATGAAGCTTCCATAATCTTGTGTCAATTGGAGATGTATTTTCCTCCATCATTTTTTGACATTATGGTTCACTTGTTCATCTAGTTAGAGAAATTAGAATTTATAGTCTAGTTTACTTAAGGTGAATGCATCCAATAGGGCGATACACGAAGATATTTAAAGGATATACAAAAAATCATCACCGACTAGAAGCTTTGATTATTGAAAGGTACATCACAGAATAAGCAATTGAGTTTTGTACAAACTATTTGTCTGAAGCATAGTCTATAGGAATTCCAAAGTCTCAGCATGCTAACACTGAAGGTAGAGGTATTCAAGGTTTAAATGTTAAGTCAATGGCTCAGGATATAGTTATTCAAACATATTTCTATATATTGAATAATCATGATGAAGTTCAACCTTACGTGGTTACTCACAAAAGACTTCTGAAGAAAAGATATCCACGAATGAGTGACAAGTTGTTGTTGATCGAACATAACAAGAAATTCCTACTTTGGTTTAATAAAAGGATACCAAAAAATCATAGTGCACCCGAAATAATTAAATGGTTGTCGTTCATGCAAAAATTTAATGTGATAACTTGGACTGCATATGAAATTAGTCATTATACATTTTATACAAATCAAAAGATGATCACAGTACAATGCAAAATAGTGGGGTTATGGTTGAGGCAGAATCCATGTATTTCTCTAGTTCGAAAGATAAGAGTCCAATATTGGCATCTAGTGTATTCTATGGTGTCATTGAGAAGATTTAGAAGATTGATTATGTTATCTTCAAAGTGCCTTTATTTAAATGCAAGTGGGTTACCAATAATACTAATGGTGTACAGACTGATGACTTAGGATTCACCTGGGTTGACCTTGATAAGGAAAATTATATGACAGAACCATTCATCATGGTTTCAGAAGCAAAACAATTTTTCTATGTGACCGACCCTTCTGACACATTGGGGAAATGGTCAATCATTCTCCGAGGAAAAGACATTCTTAGTAGTGATGAAAGTTTTGACATTCCTTCTATTCCTTCTTACACAACAAAAGTGCCTACCACTTATGATGAAGTTGATAGAGATGATGTGCATGCTATTCGTATCGATCATAATGAAGGCATATGAGAAAATTAACAAGTAATTAGTATTTTATTATTTATTCATAATCTAATTAATGTAAGTCATTATTTATAAGTATATTTATTAACAAATATGATTATTTGAAATTGTAGGTGTTTAAAGTAAATACACCAAGAGACAAAGAAATAAAACACTATAAGATACAATTATGTGATGTTATATAAAGTTTGTAGGTTATTTTGTGCCATTTTTCATTTGATGTAATACATATACAATATTTGGATCTTAATACAATATATGGATTTGATCAATGTAATACAATAAATTACTTCATTATGATACAATTGTTGTTTCTGTTTTGATATTGTTAAAAAAAAAATGCAGGTTAAAAAATGAAAAAAATATTTATAAAAAAGAATATTATTTAACGATGGTTGTAGTATATAATCGTGGTTGTATAGTGAACGTTGTCCAGAATAATATATTACACCAAAAGATGCGTTGGTGAGAATCGAACCTGGGATCTTTATATAATACAATTGTTAGTTATGCAACCGCGATCATATATATCACGCTTTCAGGTTTTCTACAACGGTCATAAGACCGTGATTGCAAGTAGAGCACATACAACCACACCCTATGTAACAACGACAGATCACGTGTGATGTTATCCCTTTTCCAACCGTTGTTGTATATATTTTCCGTAGTAGTGAACCACCCTTACCTCACAACGGTTGGTCAGACGTTGTATTATCTCTTTTCCAACCGTTGTAATATAACTTTTCCGTAGTAGTGGTCATTTCTATGAACAATTCTAAAACTAACACCATTTCAGTGATAAACAAAATCTCAATCGTGAGTTACATATCTCAAACGTGAGGGCAAAGCTTCAACAAGAAGGTTAGAAGAGTTGATGTTGACAAGATTTGATGTTGGAAGAGTTGATGAATATCACTTAGGGTTTTTGTCATGCTAATGACGATGAAACGTAATAGGCAAATGAAAAGTTAGAATATAGTTATGTAAAGTATTCATCCAAAAGAACATACACATTGATTTTTAGGAAAAACTAAGAAAATAAATTCATTAAAAATTTAAAAAATATAAAAAAAGGCAGCATATTCTAAAAACTTATATAAAAGAACTATCACATCGAATTTTAGACAAATCCAAAAAATTAAATTATTTAATAATTATAAATAATATAATTTAAAAATTTAAAAAAGTCAGTTAAACATATTAATTTAAAAATGACATTTGAAAACCATAAACTAATAAAAGAAGTTACAAAATAAATGTTAAATAAAATTTATTAAATAGAGTATTTTTATTAATACTAGCGTTCAGGCGGTACTCGCGTGCCCGTCTGTCTGCTTTTTTAATACGCATGAATAAAAATATAAATGATATTTTTTGTTTAAATAAAACTTTTTAAAAATACAATATGTAGAAGTTAATAATAAGAAATTACATAAAAAATTAATAATAATAAATTATTAAATAAATTACATAATAAAATAAGGGTAAAAATGATAGAAAAATAAACTACACTAAAATAAAATATTTCTTTTATATATTATATGGATATAGATGAAATAAATAAATAAAACTAAGACGTATGAACTCTTTCTTTTCATACCAAACACTTTAAGTTAATAATCATCAAGAATTAACTAACAAAGTAGATTTCAACTCTTTAGACCAACTCCAATGGGAGTTCTTAGAGTGAGTTTGCCAACATGACACTCATATTTGTTGTTTTCAAGATGGAAAAGTTCTTAAATATGCAACGGTTCTTCAATGGTTCTTATATTAAAATATTAATTTTATAATATAAAAACTATAATTTGATATAAAATTTTATTTATTATTTTAATTATCATTTTAATTAAAATTTAAATATTTAAATTATAATTTTAAATAAAATAAATTTAATATAAATAATATTTTTTAAGTAAAGTGGTGAGACCCAATATGAATTCTTTAGAGTTGTACCATTGGAGTGAAAATTGAATGAGTTGCTTTAAAAGAGTGGGTCCCACAAAAAACCTAAAAATAGATTGCACCATTGGAGATGAGCATCCACACTCATCAACCACATTTTAGTTCTTTAAATGGGACCCACATAATTTTTTATATTATATTACACTTTTAAATTATTTAAACAACACAACTACATTTTCTAAATATCCATACAACTCATCAAATTTGTAAAATGGGTCCCACTAAATATCACAATATATCTTATGTTAAATTTTTTTACAATCATTTTCAATTAAATAATTAATTAAATGCACATGTGGCACTTGTAGGAACGTTGTTTAATGTGACAACGGTTGCAAACTAAATAACTGTGTTATTATGCAATTATCCATCATTTTCTGACACAGTCACTTTGGTAATAGTATCTAGAACTACGAACTAGAATGCCTCTTACTCATGTGCTGATGCGTCACAAGAAAAAGTCTAGACGCAAAATAAGTTAGCAATGACCAAGTCAATAATCCTCTTTTTCTAAAAGTTCTAGAAATTTAAAAACCCTCAATACGCCTATATATTATACTACTAAATCATAAAGAAAATGAAAAAAAAAACTATGTATTATAAATATTTGCCCTGACATAAAAATCTCTTCAATTTTTTTTCATACTAAAATCTTTCTGTTCAAAGTTAAAAGAAGTTAATTAGAGACTCCACCAAAGTCTAACAGGAGTTGGCCCTAAGCTTATTATTATGAATAAATTAATAACTATATCATCTAGAAATTGATTACCAGAGTAAATTTCAACTCTTTAATATCTAGAACTAGAAGAAAAAAAAATTATTACCCATGACCAATTCAATAATCCTCTTTTTCTCTAAGATCTAGAAATTAAATAACGTCACTTACAAAAGATCTAGTAGTAGTCAATAATCCTTCATTTTCTTTTCAACTAACTACTCCTATATATTTATTATTCATAAAGAAAATGAAAAATATTCATAACAAAAAACTATATAGTATAAATATGTACCCAACACAAGTGTTGTGTTTCACTCCAAATAACATTCACAACTCTTTCACTTTTGTTCCATAAACAATGAAACACAGTTATAAGTTACTTCAATCGGATTCAACCCGACCCAGTTTTGAATTTAACACGGGTTTTATTAGTTCGCCACCAAGCGACGTCGTTTTATTCGGAAAAGTAATCAGTCGTAAAACTGAACCCGGTTCAGCATCGCAGAAAAGACAAACCAAAGAAGAAAGCACTTCCGATCGGATTAATGTCTTTGTTGCCGGTCTCCGGTCGCCGTCCGGTAGGTATAACCTGTGGCGGAGAAGTAACAGTGATAGGAAGAGTTACAGTGGAATATTTGGGACAGTGAAGTTTCCGTTACAAATGGAACTGAGTGATATGAAGATGAGGCAGGAACGGAGGGAGCCGATGCCGTTTCCGAAGTTTACGTCGAAGGATGACGGCGGAGAGAGTTACTGGGAACTTGTCCGGCCGTTACGGCGTCGTGGATCGCTTATGAGGACGTTGATGTCGTCATTTAGTTGCACTTCTATTGCTTAGGATTTTATTTAGTTGTTTTTTTTTTCAATTTTCCTTTTATATGGGATTTATTTTTTTCATTTACGCGAACTATTGATTTGGTGAATTTATTTATTCACTTATAATTTATGCTCCTGGATAAATCTAAATATCATTGAACAAAGATTTTAGACTCAGTTATATTTTGTGATCCATGTCGAAATCATGTCTCTCTTTTGACACGAAAGAGAGTGAAATTTTGATTGGAAAAATGGAGAAACTTTTAGTGTTATAGATTTTGTTTTGACTAGGTAAAAGTTCAATTATTAAAACATATTGAGCCACCTAAGTTTTAAAAAGCAAAACTGATGGGAAGATGAATACTAGTATATTCTAAAATCACACATAATTAGGACACATGACAAGAACTTATAACATCTTTTGACCATTGTCCTATAAAAGAGTTATTTGTATCAAATATTTTTAGGTCTTTAAGCTCTCAAAGTTAATTATAAAGTCTAAAGATTAGTTCAGACTTCGGTAGACACTATTGTAAAATATAAATTTTATATTTATGGTTGTCACTAATTTGATAGTTGAAATGTTTGGAGATACACCCCTAGTTGTATGTGTACTCCCCAACACTTGAAAAAAAATTTAGATTATTTAACATCGTCTTCAGACATCATCCTCCAAAATTTTTATTTTACTTTCAATTTAACCATTAACCTCGACTAGACGCTATATGTGGGTATTGTCGTCCAATGTTTCCACTTCACCACCAACTTTTTAACCCACTTCACCACCAACTTTTTAACCCATCTTCTAAGATGTCAACTATTATTTGAGAAACCTCTTGGCGATCGTTGAAGATAGTTAGAAGCTATCCAAAAGTAGAGAAATTAGTGGGTACATCAAATGGGGCCATCATATTTAGTGGGGTATTTAATCGGTGGAAATATTTTCTAACCTTCACAAGCGTTTTCGAACAATTTTATCCTTCTTGAAGGAGCTTACTTATAATACCCCAACAATAGATGAATCAACGGAGTGTAACCACTTGGACGACACATATGTTATTAGGATATTAACATAGGTGTCCCAAATTTTGAGCAAGCAACACATCATTCTCTAAAGAGAAAGATAGAAGAGACATTTACATCGATTGAAGGAAAATAGTCAAAGCCTAAAAATAGGAGGATCCCTTTGTCTGTTTAAAATAAGAATTTACATCGATTAGTGACAATATTTATGGCGGGTTTCATTGTTCGTCGAGTGTTGGTAAATCATAGAATTTCTTGTGATATCGTGTATGTCTAGTTATTCAACATCATGAAACTCACTCGATATTTGCAACGAAAATGTGTGTACAACTTATAGTTGGATGACCCATGTTGCCAAAATTAGGTGCGGTCTTATCAATGGTTCATTTAAAGTTAAAATACCACACTAATAATGACAAAGTGGATGTTATCGAAGTCGAATTGTAAGTGTGTCACATTTTTTCCTTGTGTTACTAAAAAAATACAATGAAACAAAAGAACATATGTTTTGAGCAGCGAGCCTTTAGAGACAAAGATGGTGATGAAGAAACATTTCCCCTTGATGCACCGAGGAAAGTTGAACATACATAACCAAATGGAAATTTCATAGAGGTCATTGTGAGAGACAACCCGTAAAAAATATTCAAGACCGAGGTTGATTTTCTCAATGAGGTAAAGGATCAAATGTGAAGATGTAAGCACGCCAAAGAAGATCTATTTGCTTAGAATATGGAGGAAATGTCTAACACAAATCTCTATTAGAGAATGAAATCAAAATAGAATTAGTTAGACATGTTATACAAACTTTGTTACTATCTTGTTATTAGATAAATTTAGTTATAAAGGTAGAGTTATCTCATAGAGTTTGTTACATATATAGAGTTTTATTAGGAATAATTTGTTATATTTGTTGTCTATATAAAGGTCGATACCTATTATATTTGAATATCAAAAGCACTTTTTTTATTTTCTTTTATGGCATCCGAGTCTGGTTCCGACTCAAAAGAGAAACTAAAGAAGAAAGATACCTTCAAACATGGAACAAAGAATACATATGCCTATCATCTAAAGATACCTTCAAACATGGAACAAAGGATACACATGCCTATCATCTAAGTAACAAGATCTGTTCGAAGTTGTATACTAAGCTTGTCATCTTGCACACTTGAACATATGTTAGTATACCCATTTGTTCTTTACTTACTTTGTTATCATCAAAAGTCAAGAGATATGAACAATTTTGTTTCAACAATCTCCCCTTTTTTATGATGACAAACCAAGGTATTTAAGAACAATAGTTAGTCAGCTTAACTAACTTGACAACATCAGAGTCTGAGGTTCGTAAGCTTCCCTTGAGTCAAATAGTCCAAAGGTTGAGTTTTGTAAGCTCTCCCTAAGTCCTATCCAAGTTAATTAAATTTATCTTAGATAAATTAATGTTTAGATAAAAGCAATATCATATCAAAAATAACTAGGGTTCAGGTAAATAAAAGAATTCAAAAAAAACTTTTATCCTCGTAAATACTCCCATGAATTTCTCCCCCTTTTGTCATCAACAAAAAGATAATAAACAGAAACTGATGACTAATAAGCATTTGTACCACGAATTTCAAGATGGTCAAAGGTATACTCCCCAAAATTTGCTCAACATCTTTTATCTGGTTTATGTTTCATTGCATTAGCATTTGCATAGTTATATAATTTGCATATCATGGCATATCATTCATCCAACAGGGGATCAAGTGTGATTATTATCAAGAGAAGCCTAGCAAGAAATCTTATCCAAGCTTGAGAAGTCATCCAAGTCATCAGGAGGTGGTGGGAGGTCTTGATTAGCTGAGGACCATCAATGGGATGTGAAGCATGAGGTGTGAATATGAGATGTGTATAGAGCTCATGGAGTGCCTAGAGAGCCATGTTGGAGCTAAATCAAGTCATTGTGTCAAATGCAAGAGCCACAGTTGAAGTGCAGACAATTAGGGTTTCATCTGGATCAACCCTAAGTCAATTATACAATTGAAGAGTATCAAGCCTACTTTGAGGTCATGGAGTTCATGGAATTATATGATAAGAAATTTGTGGTGTTGTGCCAAGATAAAATCAAGAAGAATCAAGAATGTGGGAAGTTGCTAAATTAGGGTTTCATTGCAAATTACCCTGTTTAGTGCCTAACTTCAAGGCCACATAAGTTAAGATACAAGTTTCAAATGGATCTTTGGCCAACATGAAACTTGTAGAGCATCTCAATACCTTTAATTGGAGTACTAGAAGTCCTCAAGGGGATTTGTAGAACTCAATTTATGGCCCAGACAAGTTACAGGTCCTCAGATGCTTCTGAAATTTGTCTGTGAAAATCATCTGACTTCAAGGCTATTTTTGACCTAGAAGGAGGTTTCACCTGAACTTTTGGTCAACATGAAAGTTGTTCCTCATGATCTTAGCTTTCTAAATTGTACTATAAGTCCTCCATCTGATTTGTAGAACTCAAGTTATGAGGTTTACAAGTCAGATGTATTTTAGGAAAGTGAGATTATAGGTCACTTTCAATCATAGGCCCATATCTCCAACTTGCAAGCTTCAAATGGAAATTTGTTTAACATGGAACTTGCTTAAAATGATGTTTTAAGTGCAACCAGGTGGTCATGAGAGTTTGGTTTGGATCATATTAAAAAGTCACTTGAAATGGCTTGAAAATGAAGGAAATTCAAATATGGAAAGGAGGGGAAAATGTGATTTTGTGCAAGATGCCTCAAACCAAGCAAGTGGGTACATTTTTCTGATTGGAAATCACATTCTAAGAGTATTGGCAATACCAGAATTTTGAGTTTAAGCCAAAATTTGAGAGTTGTCATATGGTTGCTTCACTTGAAAGTTACATGACCAAATCATCACACAATGCATAACAAGCCATTCTATCAATCCAAATTCACTCCAAATGCAATTTGCAAGGTGTTAGAATCTTCTGGAACAAGAAACTAGCTTGTATGGCACGACTGGTGTATGAACTTCCAAGCAAAAATCAGAAAATTGAACACACGGATTTGGGCTTCAAACACATTGCAAAAGCCCATGAAATGATTCTATATATTGATTAGAATGAGTTCAGATCAAGGTTGAACTTCATTTCACGCCAGAACCAGAAAGAGCAAGTGAAATTTCTCAGTTGCAACTTGAAATCGAATTCTCAGATTGGAGCCAGTTCAAGCCAAATTAAAGTTTGCAAACTCATCCTCTTGGATCATTGAAGCTATCTAAAGATTTTTGAAGCAAGAAACGAGCTCCAAGTGCATCTGTTTCAAGATCTATACCAGGTTAGTAGCATTCAGAATTCAACATGTTTTAGCATGAGATAACTAGATTTAGACCTGTGGTTAGGATCTAGGCAAGATGTAGATTGTTTTAGGCTTGATCTGGAAGCATTTGGTGATGATTGTTCATGACATAGCAAAACTGTTTGGACCTGGATCTCTTGATTCATGAGGATTTGTAGCAAGATGTTTAGATCAGGATGATCAGTGCAACGTGAGGATCATTTTAGTACCATTAGACTGACAATTGGTGAGAGTTGATATTGATGACATTTCTAAACTTTGATTCCTGTTTGCTTACTTGTTAAGAATTGGATAATTTTGAGTGGAGATTTGGAATGTACGTGAAAAACTGAGTTGAATTGGTATATAGTTTGTCATTTTTGGCTGTCTGCACCTGAACCCTCGTCAGAGAAGACAACCAGAGTCTTCTCCGGCCATCACCAACCACCACTCTGTTTCTCACTCAGGCGAGTTGGATTTGTGAAGAAGATAATGTGAGAGCCGTTAGATCAGCCTTGGACCATTGACTGACCATCAGATCGTGTGGCTGAGACTTATTATTTTGTTGACTCCAGATTAATTCAAAACGCGGCGTTTAATTAATGTGTTGGCAGCATGAGGCACGTTGGATTGTTTGACTTGTCAACTGATCCAAAGGCTATGGATTATTCGTGGCTTTTAATTGATT